AACTTCACATCAGATACACTTCCCTCATTGAGCCATCAGGGGTGCCCTTCCCCCTTGTAAGTATCTTGAACTTAGTTGATGTCAATGCACTTCCATCTGTAAAGAAACCTAATGATGATAATTGGATGCCTTGTTGTAGTGGGGGTGGGGGGGAGGGAGGGAGAGCGATGAGAGAGAGAGAGAGAGAGGGGGGAGGTAGGGGGTTGGGGAGGTTGGGTGGGGGGGATTAGAGCTCTTTGCTCAAGGGCTGAGCTGAGATGGTTCTGCTACACAGTGGGTAACCCATGTGGGTGGAGATTCCCAGATGTACTTGGCAGCCACTGAGAATCCCAATGTTATTATGGGAAATGGGGAAGGCAGCACAATGAAGAATTGTGTCTCTAATGCAAACAGTCCCGGATATTAATACAGGCTGCGGTGCAGCTAATGCTTGTAACCACCTTGAATGGAGCATTAGTCTAATGAATAAGAGGAGCCAGGAATCAGATCAGGTCATTTATTAGAATTATGGCCTTGCGACTGATCAGATGAGAGTGGTTTTTGCTCTCCATGAAAGGAGGGGGAGGTTGCAGCTCCGCTAAACACCTTAGGAAATATGAGCCATCTTAACACAGTGCTAATTGATGGATGAGTTTTATTCTTCCTGGTGAAGGAAGGGAGCGAGGAGGAGGATGGAGGTGGGGTGGTGGGGCTGGTCGATGGCTTGACTGCCTGCCAAAACATCTCGGGAACATTCCATCCACAAAGTGTCACTTGGGAAACGCGGCACAGAGAGAGGACTAAAGGCTGGTTGGCAGCTCGCTGTTGGTCACTGCGATCCTTTAGGCTGACGTGGGGAGAAGCAAAGTCCTCCCTCTCCTCTCCTCCCCCCACCAACCTCACTCCCTGACCCGCTACTCAGCTGAGGGGCTCAACTTTCACAGCCACCTGCCTGGCTCAGTAAACCATCTCCTTTCTGCTCTGAAAAGCATCTGGGGAGAGAGACAGCAATGGGCAGTGGCGGAGCAAGTTATGTGCTTTGTTGAGAGAGAGTCAGGTATGATTTAAAGAATAAAATACCTTTACTTTTCCCCCATCTAATTCTCTTTATTTTTCTTTTCTCTCTTATTTTTTCTTCATTCTGCTTTTCCTCTTTATTCCTCCTTTTGTTCCTTCTCTTTCTTCCCTCTAAGTTTGCTCCTTTTCTATCCCTCGCTTAGATTTCTATTCTGCATTCTTTCTTTCTCGTCACCGTCACTATTTCTCCCATTTACCTTTCACTCCCTCTCTCGCTCGACCTTGCTCTCTCTCAACCTCTTTCTCTTCCTTTTCCTGTCTCGCAACTTAATTTTTGTTTTTGCTTTGATTTGTTTTCCTCTTTCATTTTTTCCCTGTTTTCTCTCTCTCCCTCTTGTGTATTTACTGCCCCTTCTCTCTCAAAAGACCTGTTAACTCACAGGTTCCCTCTGGTATCTGTCCCCTATTTAGGATTACCGCTGTGAGTTTAGACAGCGAGGGTTGACAGTGTCTCAATGACCAGGGGTTGGAGGAAGCAAAGAGTGGGGTCTAAACAGGCAGGTCCTTGGTTTAACCCCTTATCTGAAGGACAGCTACTCTGACAAGGGATGGGGTGGGGGGAAATCACAGTTGAGCCAATCAATCCTGTCCTCACCCAAACATACAGACACACTCCTTCCAGTAGGGGGTCTGGTTGATTTCTCCTCATTGCCTGTGGTAAGAAACCCAATTTTGCCATTCCTACCACCAACCCCAAATGAGCACAACCTAAGATTCTTCCTAGTTGTAATAATAATACAATAATCCTTGCATTTGATATAGCGTCTTATCACATCACTGAGACGTCTCAAAGCGCTTCACAGAATATACTGTAAAGTGAATTGACTGTGTATTTTATGGGTGAAAATGAGGCAGCCAATGGTGCAGTCGTAGATTGATTTTTTTGGTGTTCCCATGTCTCTGCTCCAGAATGGGCAACGTCTCTTGAGAGACGTCTCTTCTCTCCCCTGAGCCAGTAGGGGATCTTTAGGTCCACACGAGCAGACAGGCGGGACCTCGGTTTAAACACCTCATCTGAAGGACGGCACCTCTGACAAGGAACCCATGCACTTTCCAGGGAGGTGAAGTGAGGTGAGGCGGCTCACTGAATAGTGGAAATCCTGGTTGATTGTTCCTAATCCCTGGCCCCATTGACTAAGATGAACTGACTCAATGCAGACAGGACCCAGGACTGGGCTTTGAACTCCCAATCTTTACTGACTGGCGCGGTTTACCCACACGACTATTGCCGAGGAGCTAAGGGGAAGGAAGAGCTGTAGCCTAGAAAATGAGCAGCTCCAGAACCATCATCCTAGGCCCCGGGCAATAATGAGCTGCTCACGTTTATCATAGTTTATATGTCGAAACCAGGGGGGTTTAGCGATGACTTGCTGGGTTGGACTGGAATGTGCTAATCATCTCTCGCAGACCCTTATTGCAGCGTACTCCGCCACAGTGCTGGCACGACCAGTCACCAAGGCAACCAAGGAAGGCCCCTTGAAGGGTTGTGTGAAGCCAAACGGTCACCTATCTTGGGGACTGGCGTACAGATGATCCTCGCCAGTCCCCGAGGTCCCAGGACTCATTAGAAAGTCATATTTTTCTTTTTCTCGAAGCATCCAATTAAAATTTTAATTGAGCAAAGCTGCCAAATGGCTGAGGCCCAGAGCGAGTTTGGCTGACCTTTCGGGGAAGAGAAAACTACTCCCCCCACCACCCGCCCCACACCCCCCCCCTCCCGCCCTCCCCAGGGCTGGGAGAAGAGATTCGAGATGAAATTTCACTGGAGAATTATTCATTACTCCCCAAGGTTAGCGTTTTATTTTTATTTTTTGTCCTGCCCCCTCACCCGTGTTATCATGTAAACTAGGCCAAGAAAATTAGGCCTCTCTATTCTAACCTCGGGCAACCTCACTGGCTGAAGTGAGATAAAAATTGTTTGCCCACTCCCTGGCTGTTTGTGGGACATCACTGTGTGCAAATTGGCTGCCTCGTTCGCCCACATAATAATAATAATAATAATAATAATAATAATAAAACTCCTTGCATTTGATTTGGTTCCTTATCACGTCGTCGAGACGTCTCAAAGTGCTTCACAGGACTGTCACTGCACTTCACAGTAAATCCCGCGAAGCGCTTTGCAACGCTCCTCCCGATTTTAAAGGCCGTACAATAATCTTTGTAGTTAATACCGCGTCAAAACATCTCGAAGTGAGTGACTGATTTCATCTGGGGGATTGTTGTCCAGGACAGTGGGAGAAAGAAACTCCCTTTAATTTTCTTTTAACCCCCAAGCAGGAGGGACCTCAGTTTATCATTATTAATAACAATAATTATTAATAATACTGATCATCATCTCTACCTATTGTTCAGCGCCTTACACGTCAGTATGATGTCCCAAAGCGCTTCACATAATGTAGTGTAAAATGCACTGTGATGTGACTGCGTGATTTGCAAAGATAATAAAGGCGAGGTATGGGCTGAGCGCATTCCCTCCCCATCAGCCTTTCTCCGCTCTCTGTTGTGGTTACTGTATTGTAAGCGAGGATTGCAGCTTGTGCTGTAGAGAGCCACGCGCTGGAAAACTGGAGGCTTGTGCTCACGTCCTGGTTTGTTCTGAATCAGTGGGGCTTTCTATGGTCTGCCGTCTTGTCAGTCAAGTGGGTGAATGAATGAGCCTCTTCACCTTGATCTCTTGTCTAACCTTAAGGCTGCTTGAAAGAGGGAGATGTTATTACGTCGTGTTTTATTGATGTAATTCAGGCTAACTCGCTCAGACGCTCGCCGAGGCTTTTATTCTGCTTGACTGGGACGACGTGCAATGTGGAAAAAGCTGCCCAGACTGTCTCTCTCTCTCTCAGGAAATAATAGGAGTTGTGGGGGGGGTGGGGGTGGGGGTGGGGGGCGTGGTAGCGGAGAGAAGGACGGAGAGGGAGGAAGAGCGGAGGAGTAGGAGAGGGGAGGTGGGAGAAATAATCTTTTAAAGGAAAGCTCAGGAACGAGCAGACAGCCTGCAGGTCTGGAAGTGAAAGCTTCTTCTCAGTCAGAGTGAACAAATTGTATTGATTTTGTATGTGGCTGGAATCCATCTATTTATTACACGCTGGAGGTGCCTGGGATCTGAGGCAGGGATTTGTGTTTCATCTTTCCTCCTGGGATTGTTTATTTTCGCTTCCTAGGGTTAAATTTCCCCTCCCTCTCTTTCTCCCTCTCTCCCCCCACACAGGGAAACACTCTACCTCAGATTTCTATCTATTTTCCCCCCACCCCACCTTACCCTGCGCTCACTCTCCCCCTCTCTCCCTGCTCTGCCTCACCCTTCAACATCCCTATCTCCCTCATAATATTCTACCTTGCCTGTCCAAATCCTCGCCACTCCCTGCCCCCCCCACCCCACCACCCCATCTGCAACCTCCCTCGGCTCGCCCCATCCTCACCCCCTCTCCCCCTCAGGATTCAGTGAAGATGGGAGTGTGCGCTGTGAGTAAATTCCTGGAGGGAGATAAAAACAACAATGATAATCCTTGCATTTGATCCAGCGCCTTATTGCGTTGCTGAGACATCGCAAAGCGCTTCACAGGATATACCGTAGATGGATTGACTGTGTATTTTGTGGCCGAAACATGGCAACCAATTGTGCACAGCAGTGTCCCACAACCAGTCGTAGATTGAGTGACAATATTTTTTGGGGGAAGGATTATTACGCCCGGAAAGCGATCCACCGATCGACTAACAACCCGGTTCCTACTCACTGCTAGAGGCGTGAGGAGTAAGGCGTGAGGAGTAAGGCGTGAGGAGTAAGGCGTGAGGAGTAAGGAAACTTGCCTAAGGTTTGGCTCCCCTGTCCGGGAATGGAACACGGGTTCTCTCGCTTGCGTGGCGAGGGCTCTAACCACTGAGCTACGGGGACTCCATAAGATGTGGGGCAGATTGTGATGTGCTATCCTTGTGCTTTCTCCCTCCAGACGCAAAGTGAATCCCGTCTGAAGCCACAGCATTCCTCTGCCGTGGGCTTCGGATTCCAGCCCGGTGTCACAGGTCATCGCCAAGGATGCTGTTGTCCAGTTATTTAACGATGCCCCCGGTTGTCTTGGTGACGGCCTTGTTGTCTCTGGCGATGGATGTCTCCAGTGCTGAAGGTAAGTCCACCCTGTCTGGTCCCCACTACCACCACCATCAACAACAACGACGACAATCACTTGCATTTACACAGCGCCCCTCCTCACTCACGCAGGGCAGGGTCCCAGAGAACTTGACGGTGGCGGAATCTGACCCCGAACCAGGGGGGAGAGAGAACGCGGGGAGGTGATCGTAAGCACGATCAAAAGGAAGGTGTTTAGGCGGGATTGAAGGTGGGGCAGGAGAAGGCAAGGCGGAGGGATTGAGGGAGAGAATTCCAGAGTTTACGGGTGTCGTGGCTGAAGGCACGGCCACCGATGGTGGAGGGGATGAGGGACAAACAGGAATACCCTTGAGGGGGAAGAGAGAGGTGGGAAGGGAGATAGAGAAGGATAGGGACAGGGAGAGAGAGAGGGGGGTGGGGAGAGAGACGGAGGTGGGGGAGAGAGTGGGGGGTGGGGGGAGAGAGAGGGGTTGGGGAGAGAGACGGAGGTGGGGGGAGAGAGAGGGGTGTGGGGGGAGAGAGAGGGGTGGGGGGAGAGAGAGGGCGATGGGGCAAGGGAGATGGCGATGGGGCGAGGGAGAGAGAGACCAAAAGAGAAAGGGGATAGGGAAGAGAGAGATGGGAGAGAGGGTTGGGGTGTGGGGTGGGGGCGGTGGGGAACAGCTTTTCATTTACAAACTTGTCTTTGAACACAAATACCAAAGGGAAAGTAAGTAGGTGTAAGCTGGATTTGCACTCTCCGCAGAGGAGGCAAAGGCTGAGTCGAACACTCCCCGAGTATTTGAGTATTTGTGAAATGTAAAGTTAAATGTCTGACTGACTGACGGGCGGGTGGGGGGAGGTGGGGGGGGGAGGGGGTTGCGCTTCAGAGGGGAGTCTGCGGGGAAGGGGCGGGCGGGGGGAACTTAAACACTGCCCTAAACATTTGATAAACAACATGCACCACCCCCCACAGCATCCGGAGCCCGCTCAGCCAAACCCCACTGGGTCCAGAAATTGATGTGGAAAACACTGCACTTGCCATAGCAACCAAGCGGGAAAGCCATTATCAGGGGTCTGCAGAGTGGCAGCGGTGGGGTGGGGGGGTGGGGGGTGTGGTGTGGGGGGGGGGCGGAAAGAGAGAGCGAGGACGCTGCAACCTTAAGGCGCTCCCACGGGTCCGTCAACCATCTGCGTTGTCTAAAGAGATGCCTGTTGTTACCAAATGATTTCTCCAGACTTGGTTAAAGCCTCTCTGTTCAGCCGGGGCCCTTTTCAGGAACAATTAATCCTTCCCGAAAGCTGATATAGACCAGGTTTGCACGTGCCTACTGCTGATGTGGCTCAGCCTTTGCAGGCAGTGGATTAAGGTTGGGAGCTGTTTGAGGGATTATTACCCCCCCCCCCCTCCCCTAACCCCCCCCCCCTCCCCCCGAACGCAATCCGACAATCGAGTAACTTCCAGGTAAACAGTGGCGTGTGGACTAGGGATACTCGCCTAAGGTTTCGCCCCGCCCGGGAATCGAAATCGGGTCCTCTCGCTTGTGAGGCGAGTGCTCTAACCACTAAGCTACAGGACTACATCATTGTGTGGGGAGCTGGGAAGGGCTTGAGACGACAAGCGTTGTCTACACGTCTAGCGCTGAGGTGTACTTCAGCCCTTAGAGGCTGAACAATGAGGAAAGCCACACCTTCAACCTCGCCAACCATCAGCCACAAACAACCAGCTGCTTTCCCACGGCAAAAATCTGCCTTTGTTTCTCCCAGACGAGTGCTCTCGAGGGAGTGGGTGGTGGTGGGGGGGGAGAGGGGGGGAAAGACTGCCCTCACTGGTTCTCTTGCACCCCCCGTTCCCCCCACCCCCGTTCCCCCCCCCCGTCCCCACATCCATCACGCTCACACTGTTGGTAAACATCACCTGCCGCAGGCGGCCAGGGGTGGCAGGTTCACCATCCAGTCAAGCCGTTTCCATGTTATTTTTATTCCGTGTCCTTGTGAAGCTGTCACATTCCAGCTGAGATCGGAGCGTAATTACCCAGGCCCCTCGCAGCTCCCAGCCATCCACCCCCCACCGCCATCCCCCACACACAGCAGCCAGGCAGCTTCCAGGTGCCGAGATATTCCAAATTCTCTCTCATCTCTCCCTTCATCTCTCAATCCATTTCTCCTCTCTCTCTCTCTCTCTCTCTCTCTCCTCCCTCCTTCCCTCCCTCCCTCCCTCCCTCCCTTTTTGGCAACTTCATCTATAAATACAGTCACGACATTTTACAGTAAGTTCTGTGAAGCGCTTTGAGACATTGAGATGTTCTGTTGACGTGATATCAAAGGTTCGATGTCAAATGCAACGATTAGCGCTGTTACTGTCAGTCTCTGTGAACGACATAGCGTCCCAGCTAATATGTTTCAGTACATAATAATAATAACAATAATAATAATAATAATCCTTAGATTTCTTACAGCGACTTTCATATAGGGTGAGAAGTCTCAAAGCGCTTCACAGGATATACTGTAAGGTGTAGTGACTGTGTATGCATGGGCGAACATTTGTGGAGTCCTGTAGCTCAGTGGTTAGTTAGAGCACTCGCCTCGCAAACGAGAGACCTGGGTTCAATTCCCAGCAGGGCGAAACCTTGGTCAAGTTCCCTTACTCCACACGCCTGACAATAATCCCTCAAGAAAAAAAAACAATAATAATTTGGTCACTTCAATCCACGACTGTTTGTGGGGACGCTGCTGTGCACAATTGGCTGCCGCATTTCGCCCACAAATATACAGTCAATTCACTTTACAGTATATTTTGTGAAGCGCTTTGAGATGTCTAGAAGACGTGATCACGGGCTATATCAAATGCAAGGATTATTATTATTATTATAGCGACTGTGTATGCATGGGCAAACATAACAGCCAATTTGCACACAGCAATGTCCTGCAAACACCCAGAACGTGAGTGACCAATTTTATTTGGGGAATTTGTGGCCAAGACATGGGAGAAACTCCCTTCTCTTTTCGAATAGTGCCATGGGATCTTTACCACCCACTGAACAGACAGTCAGGTTTAACGTCTTATCTGAAGGACGGTGTCTCTGTCAATACAATGCTCCCCTCTCCTCTCCGCCTCTCCCCCCCCAATGGTGTCGGAGTGTCTGCTCAGAATATATGTCCCAAATCCCCTCATGTGGCTTGTACCCTTAACCTTCTGACTCAGATGTGAGAGTGCTGTCCACTGAGCCAGGCTGACACACGTGTAAAGCATTAAATATCCTCACAGTTGTCCCTTTAAAGTGACGGAGTAAGAGATTTATTTCTCTTGATTGATGTTTGATTTGGGTGATTGTGGCTCTGGGTGATTGCGACCAGAAGGGATAAAGTCTAGCCTATTCTCCGCAGCGATCTGCTCAGGCCCAGCTGCAGATTTCCCCCCTTGAGATACCGTCCAACCAAGAAGTCCCAGCGCCACTCGCTGAATGGTTTAGCCGTGTGTCCGGGAGACGGAGACCGAGATAGGAGAGATTGTCATGTCAATTAGCTGAGCCGAGAGGTGGATGTGGAGGAGGCTGGGGAGAGGAGACAAATGATGTCAGCAGACGGAATTATTTTACCTGGACTTCAGTAACAGATGGAGAATCTTGAGCTCTTGTTTGCCAAGGCAACTGGTCAACCAGAAATCCCAGGATCTTCAGGATCGTAAGGTCGACCCGTTTGATTCCTGGGAAGGTGCTTTGGGCTGGGACACTGGACTCATTTACAGAGCAGCTTGATAATAATAATAATCAATAATAATATTAATTCTTGCGTTTGATATAGCGCCTTATTATCACGTCTTTGACACGTCTCAAAGAGCTTCAGAGAAAACACTGCAAAGTGTAGTGACTGTATATTTGGTTGGTCGAAAATGTTTTTCGATCCTGTGAAGGAAGGACACGGTAGGGTGGGTGGTTCTAGAAGGGTGAGATCAAGTGAGATTCGCGAAGGGTCTTCTTCGTGCAAATCAATCTTGTGATCTTGCAGAATACCCATTCGACCATCTTCCCTTCAGCATCAAATTGTTTTTTAAATGACTCCCCGTGTTTAGGCCTCAATCACCCTTCCAGATAACTCTCTCCTCCCTCCCTCTCTCCCTCCCTCCCGCCCCCCCCAACCCCACCACCACTCCTCTGGAGCGGGCAAGGCGGAGAGATAGAGGGAGAGTGTTCCAGCATTTTGGGGGGGTAGTGGCTGAAAGCGCTCTCTGGTTGGCGCTGCACCCAGACTCTGTAGGAACCCCCTGAATGAACCCACGAGAGCTCAGTGCAACTGAATTGTCTACATAACTGCTTCTAACCTTCGTACAATTGCACACACAAATGGATTTAAACCGCTCTGTGGTTTGGAGGGTTATCAGTCGATCGCTCTTGTGTTAAATTATAAATGATTGGTAACGCATTCAATGTGCAAGACTGTCTCTTCCCCTGCACCAGGCTCCCTCCGTGCACCCAGCACCTCTCTCGAGCCCCACATTTCTACACTCCTCCAACTCTGCGTTCATTTGAGGTATTCCTTAAAGGATTCCTTTGTTAGATTTCCCTTCGGCACATCGAAACCCCGCTCTAAAAGTACGCCGTGTCCTTTTTAGGAGGGTTTTGAAGACGGAGCAAGGCAAAATGTACATCAGCTTGGCTCAGTCGATAGCACACACGTCTGTCTTTCGTAGAATGATAGTATCATAGAATTATACAGCACAGAAGGCGGCCATTCGGCCCATCGTGTCTGACCCAGTTCTTTGTAAAGAGCTATCCAAATCAACCCCGCGCTCTCCCCATAGCTCTGTGTGGAGGGTGCTATATAAGTGTAAGTTGTTGTTGTCCTGCCAGGTTTAAAACAATAATTGTTGCATTTGATACAGCAACAACAACAACAAAATTACATTTGTATAGCGTCTTTCACATCAGGAGGACGTCTCAAGGTGCTGGACAGACAGAATTACGGACCCGAGCTGAGTGTCAGGGTGGGGGTTAGGGTTAGGGTAGAGGGCAGTGGGGAAAGCAGAGAGATCGCTAA